CAAGGTGGAACACCTCAAAGGTTTATACTAGACGCCTTAAAGTGGGTCATGGCAAAATAAAGTAATATTTATGCAATTAAAATATAACAAAAACCAGCCAATAACGGCCTGTAAGGTATGAAACCAGCAACTTAAGCACTGTGCTTACCCCATATCATATTTACACAACTTCACATATTAATAATCTTTCTCGACAATTTTTGTTCTCTGTTTTGACAAACAAATGTGAAATCCACAACGAAACTCTGTGAGAGACGTTCAAAGGCATGGGTTTAATACCAGGTGGTATACATAGTTGCTACTGACCTATAAAGGGTTAACTGTACTAGTCACTTAACAGACTCCACTCGCCCATTCATTTAGACCGAGGTTAAAAGCATTCTCGCCAACAGCCTCTGTTACCCCGTCGGTGTCAACCGCGAGTGTGTCTCCATGGTAACGAGACAAAAATGAGCATTTTGCGTATTATTACTACGAAAGCCTGTATGAACTTTGCTTGAAACATTTTAAAATTGAACCGATATTAACATTAAAAAATTATAAAATCCACTACGTCTCTGGTAATGACTTTATTAGTCTTGGTGTAAAAGGATGCCTCCGTCGAGTGGCGTGGCGGATAAACCAGGTCTTTATCGGTGGGTTTCAGAAGCAGTCAGTGGAAGGTAAAGTTACGCGTATTTAAATAACTTCGAGAAGAAAACAGATAGAACCAATTTCTTAGCTCGAAAATAAATATTTTTTTAACGAGGCTAGTACGGCCAGCCATAATGAATTTCGCCAGCAAGGTGGAACACCTCAAAGGTTTATACTAGACGCCTTAAAGTGGGTCATGGCAAAATAAAGTAATATTTATGCAATTAAAATATAACAAAAACCAGCCAATAACGGCCTGTAAGGTATGAAACCAGCAATTCTTTGCTTATTTACTGTTCATTTCACGTATTATAATAATACTCGAATGCTATACGCGAATGGGTACATTATATTTTTATGCTTAAACTATCCAATGAGGAAGGTGTTTCTGTCAGCAATCTGTATCCTAGCAACCGGCTCCCAACCTTACGTGGCGGTGACCCCTTCGACTAAAGAAGTTGAATGAACGTTCTTGGCCTTGCAGTTTGTCTTAAGGCGGAGCCATATGCTGGCTAAGGACAAGCTTAATATGACTGCGCCCATCTCGCGTGTAGGGGTGTGTGGGTTCTGATCCCGATTCTGCCATTCCTCTCCCCGTCAAATCTTATTTGGAATTTTAATTGTTTCTCGATGTCTTGGCAGTGACCAGGCCCTAAAAATACTCTTGTCAATGCAAAGAGTAATGGAAACACGGCTTCGTGTCCACCCTGTCCCCTCATCGTGTCATGTCAGTTGCAAAACACTGGGTATGTCACAAAACGCGTGTTGCATCCAAGCAGCTCGGTTCTGACTCATAAGTTGATCAATTACCATTAACTGGGAGTTTGCCATAATTTTCGCAGAAACGTATAGCGCAACGCTCGTGGAGAAACCTCAGTGAATGAAAGTTGTTGATAGTATAATATTAAAATGCATCTTGAGAATGTGAGCTGTTCAGAAATGTATTTTTTTGTGATGCAGATGAACGCTGAGGTTTCAGAATAACAGAAAAATGTAGGATGTGAGGTTTTCATGGCGGTGAGTACGAAGAAGTCTGGTAGAAGTTTTCCAAAGACCTCTGAAACTTTTTCTACCAGGAGACATTTCGTCTTCGAACAGGAAAATGTGTTGAACAACCGAATAGTCGCAACTACAGATCAGGGAACCGGCAGCAAGCTGATCACTCGGTCAGTAAATTGGGTTGTTAAACCGAAAACTTTGTGATCGCGTACCGTGTCACTCGGTACGGTGGTCGCCGATGTACTGCAGTGAAGTCGCAGAGGCCGGCCTTAGCTTTCTGAGTGTCAAGGTTGCGCAGAGTGAATCAGGAATCCCAGATCATCAGCTTCGTGACTCAGTGGAATTCGAGGCCAGAAATCCCGAAGGCGTATTTGCATTAGATGATTGCTTTACGTCACTAGTTCCGGACTGGACTCTTGATTATGAGGGACATTTGCTGAGAATATTCCTTGTTGTGTAACCCACTTAAGTCCCCCCCGAGGTCAGTTAAGTGCCGGGTCACATATGAAGCCCTTAACGTAGGACCTGGGGCTTGGTCGGGGTTACCTCGCATCTCCTGGGGCGGTGACAGATGAGAATGGTGCAATGGTGGGGTGATGATTAGTGGGGGAAAACCCCGAAGAACTCGAAGTGAAATCCCTGATATTTTGCCACGACGTTCATCTTATTTGAAGGATCTTAGATTGAATCCATGTTTCTGCGTAAAAAAAAGAGACAGTGTCCAGTCGCCAGAACTTTGACTCGGCTCACAACTTTATTGTATACCCCTTAATGCAGAGTTGGTAATGAATGCTGTTTCGTTCTCAAGTGCTCTTAACTGTCTCACAGTAACGCGGTTCTACAACTTTGTGGCGACTAGATAAGAACTTTTATTAAGCTGTCACTCGTCAGACCAGACGTGTCTTTACGTAACGGCCTTGGGAGGGCATTAGTTGTCAAACTGTGCACGGTATACCCCGAGGACGATGGACAAAACATTTCTCTTTGTGTCTTAAACAACCGATCGCTACTGGACTTCTGCAACCGTTCTGACACTGGATATATTTTCCAAGCTTGTTGGTAAGGACAACACGCAAAAATGACGTATGCAGCACGCATCTGACCTCTGGTGGAGGAGTGGAGAGTAGTTGTGCAAAATGATTCATCAGACTTTCGTGACAAACACATCTTTGTCACTTGTTACGTAGTTACTTCGTTCTGCAAGCAATTTTCTCGTTTGAAGGCCCAACGTTATGCAAGCGAAGTTTTGGGCGTGACACTGCACAGCGAATTAGCCTTCGGAAGGCCACGAAATGCAGCTGGCTCCGTAATTGTGATCCCCAAGAGACGAAGAAGCTGGTCTCCGAGCAGATTAAACATGAACCTCCCACCGCCATAAACGTTTCTTTGGAACGACAAGTTTCCTGCTACCTGGCGGATTTAAGCAGTTCGGTGATGCAGACGTAAATATGGGTTTTGAACCTGAGGACTTTGTGAAAGGCGGTTTTACCAGACTTTCTCCTGACGCGCCGATTTGTACGAATGTAAAAGTGCGATATATCGACGTATACCGTAGTTTTTCCTTCTTCCTCGAACTAAAGTAGATGCACCACAGCTCATATTAGAATCTATGACTGAACACGATCATGCATTATAATTATTATTATTATTAATTGATTATAATTATCATCATCGAAATCATTTCTGAACTACTAACAGCGTAGTTAAATAAATAAGTGAAATAAAGCCATAATTAGCGATCAGAGATTTTCGTATTACGATTTGGTTACCGAAATCGGTTATCGATATTTTTTAAAAAAAATTTTTATGATTGACGGCTATCGGAAGAAACTACTGTTTACGAAATGAGAATGATTTTTTGAAGTTGTGGACACATGCGAAATGTAAAAGGCAAAAACACCTGCTTCTGCTTTTGAAGGAGTTGGTGGAGTACAGACGCCTTGCCGTGTGGCTGGGACCTGAACAAGCAGTTCCGTTTTTCCTGCTAAGTCACTAAATTATCGCTGTTCATTACTCAGCAGAAAGTCGGCGTGGAAATGTTCCAATAATTACACAGGTAATTCTGTCTCCTTCCTCCCAGGACGACAGACATGAACGGGCCAATGACGTGTTCTTCGCTCACGCTAGAGCGCGAAGAAGACCTATAAAACGCGAAGCAAATGAGATGGGCAGTGCATGTAGGGCGCAAGGAGTGCATGTACGATAAATGGCAGTTCGATGGCTTTTGTGAACACTGTAATGAGCCTCCGGGTTCCATAATGAGCGGGGTTTTTCGTGACCAGCTGAGCTACTATCAAGGACGACTGCTTTTGCCAGTACGGTGATGAACATTTACGTTGAATAGCTACCAAGTGCTGTGAGTCAGCTTATGTGGTAGCTGATTGTGACCACGTGACCAGTCGAAAGAGGGACCAGACGATTCTACATTTCGGTTGCTTCAACTCTAGAAATCGAAACGGAGACCTCGTTCGTCGTGGGCCATGAATTTCGTGGTCGACTGTGAATAAGTGACACTTGTAGGAGACCTTGGCCACCCGCAGGGCAAGAGTTAGTCACTGCAAGGCCTGCCTCAGAGTAGCGTGGGGAGGAGGCCTCTCGCGGGAACAATCCAATTCCGTCTTTGCGTTACAGATCGTAGTGTCTTACGAGGGCTGTATTCTTCTATTTAGAGGAAAAATTTCTACCCAACTTACAAGCTACAGTGACGGTTCCCATCAAGAACTGCAAGCCCCCTCACGATATTTCATGGTGAAAATTTTGTTTTATTTAATGTGTTGTTTGACACAACATGCA